CTAGTATCGGTCACGCCTGATTAAAAACAATGAGTAAGGTTCAAGAATAATCCTTATCAGCACAAAAAACTTTAAAAGCTTCAGGCACAAAACAACAAGCAATGAAAATAAGGCAGGCAAATATCTATCACTTGGTTTTGAAGTGAAGATCAAGATTCAAATCCCAGCAACAACCAACAAGTCATAATATAATTAGGTACTAAAGGAATACCATCCCTTCATCCGCTCACCATAATCAAACAGTAGTCAAGATATTTTAGAATTTAGATGAGATTATAAAAAAACCAGGGTTTTTTATGTGAAGAAAAACAGCATTAAAATCTACAATACAGGTGTCCACTACACCCCTATGCCTTAAGCATGATTGGTTCTCGGTCTATTCAAGATTTACAACCATTTCTCTATACTGTATTCCAATAATAAGGGAAATATACTACAGATGATAGTACTCGAAAATGCTAAGTAAGATTCTTATCCTCGTGCTTATTTATAACAATATGTTCAAAACTAGCCAATACGTTCAGGTTTGTTGAACATAAAAACTTAAGATCAAAACTTTCAACTCAACATTTCTTTTCTCAAATTTGGTCATTTTGTGTACAAACAATTATAATTAGCTTATTAAGCATATAAGCTCAAAAAAAATAAAAAAAATAAAAAAAGGAAGAAAGAAAAGAAGGATTTAGCTTCAGGTTAAAAGAGTTTCTTCGTTGCCAAAATCATAAAGGATTGTAGCTCACATCCTCAAATATATTTGATGCAACCGTCCCTGGCTTTTATCTTATATTAAGCTTCTTGGACTCAAATACTAGCTAGAGTTCGGCATTAAATTTGAAAACAAAGGTAAAAGACTCAGGTTGGCACATTTTACAATAATAGAAAACAAATATTATATTATATTACAAATTTAATAAATTAAAAAATGATCACAAAACAAAACTAATAATGTGTTGTACAAGCATGGGATATTGTTAAACAAGTACCTGTGGCGATCATGATCCCTGGAGCGTTCCCTAGACCTTGAACGTGACCTGTGGTGACTTCTAGAATCATAAGTCCGAGAGCGCTCATAATCCCTATCACGATCTCGATCACTATACCTGTCACGATCTCTGCTCCTAGGATCATAATCCCTCCCTCGGTCATGGCTATTCCCTCGGTCTCGGTCTCGACTTGATTCTCTCTCATGATCTCTGCTTCTTTCTTTCGATCTATACACCACCAATAAAAAGGATATCACAACACCCTCCTCACCACCCAATGGTTTACCAAAGGAAAAAGGAAAAGAAACCACGAGAGGATTACCTCCTGTCATCATACCGGTCAAGTTTGCGGCTCTTGTTTCTCTCTTCCTGAGAAAACAACAATCAGCAAATACTACAGAATGCTTCTTTCAAAAACCTAAATGCCAATTCAATTTAGCTAAATATAACATGCCACAAGGACCATTAGGAAAGAATTCTAATGGTGATAGGCATAATTACTAGGCAACTTACCCTGACCAAACCAGGCCTTTGTCAGATTTGCTGTCACAGATTTTAAACATATGAAAAGCTCTTTTTTTTTCCTTACATTACAACAAACTCCCTTCTTGTACTTCTCTCCTATTTGATTTCATGTTTCCTTTTTCTTTCATTCTTTCAGCAGAAAAAACTAATCTATCAAAATTGGTTGAGCACCAAGACATTTCATATTTGATGCATTTTAAGCCCAATATGCAGAGACAAGGTAGAAAATAGTATGTTTTAAAGTCCAGCATTGACAAACAATTAAAAGAAATTGAAAACTGGGAGTTATTATTCTTCTCTGAGGTCAGAAAAACTCACAGATGATACTAACTGAGAATCTGTATAGAAGAATGAGAAACATTATACCAGCACCCGACCAACATATTCACAATACAAACTTAAGGGGATCCGGAAAAGATGTATTAATTTTCTGTTTCACTAGAATCCATTGGGTAACGGCATTCAAATAAAGTTCTGATCATTTAAAAAATATATATATAATAATAATAATAATAATAGACATAGTATGTGGATAGTTCAGGCAATTTATACAACCAACATCTTGGATACCAGGCACTATAATGTAACACTTAAAGCAGAGCCACCATAGACAGTCAACAGATACTAAGCATGTAAATCATCTTACCTGAAGTTCTGCTAATTTATCACGGATTTGCATATAGCCTAAATGAAGTTTGCCTCCAAAATGATCTGCTAAACGTCGGTCACTGAAAGAAACAAGAAAAATCAAATCACTTTGACCTAGAAACTTAAAAAAAGAAAAATATATATATATACTGCAGTAGTATGCATTATAGATTATACAGTTTCCCAAATATTTATTATCTAACAATTGCATGATCTACAAGTACAAAAACAGAAAAAGACGCACATTATGTAGCTGCAAAAGTTATCCTCGTAAAACTGGGCCCAAAAGCCTGCTGGTGACAAGGAGGTATAATAGCCAGGTCAAAAGCTGAAGCACTTGAAACCCGAAACACTAACTTTTTGAAGCCCTTAGAAAGAAGATAAAAGGCTATGATCAAGAAACAGAAGATAAAAAATGTACCTGTCATAAACACTCAAAAATGCTCCACAAATATCACAAACACGTAGCTTTTGATCAGTCTGAAACAAAATTGGATCAAAAAGATTAGAGCAGATAGAATATTAACATATAAATGAACTAAAAGAAAATTAAACTAAAATCAAATTATGATGGGACTGGTCATGCATTAATTATGCAAATTGAATTCATATTTTCCCAGTAAGGTCCAAGTGTGTCTTAGTTTTCTTATCTAGTTATTATCATAGTTTTCCTTCTGTGAAACTGAAAGAAAGACAAACAGAACTCACAATGCGAACATCAGCAGCAGTATACTTTGAGGAATCCAGAACAGGCTCCTGTCTGGCAGAGAGCTGAACATATATGGAAAAACAATTAGCCATAAATAAGGCATACCAAGGAGAAGGAAATGGTGCAAGTTAATAAAAATCAATCTACAGAAATAACACTACTAAATTCACAAATTGAAACCTTCTTGAGTGCTTCAGCCTCTTCTAATGCTTTTTGTGCCTCATCTACCATCCCCTTCTCACCTAAACAACAA